AATAACGTGATTATCCCTACCTTGGAGACCATGGTTTGTAAACCTAATACTCCCGTGTTTGTTTGGTTATGAAATTACATCTTCATACACGAAATTATCGCTTCACAGAAACACGTGAAGCGTTAGTGATAGTTTTAGTCAAAATATCTGCGTGACATTCACGTGAATATTACGAGGCTGACTTGAGATGAATCATGTTCTTCATTCACGTGAAATTTACGTCGAAAGGGAAGTTACTGTAACCCGCGTTCAACCCAATAATTACGCAAATGTTACACAATAAATGAACCAAAATAATGACGTTCTCATCCCGTTTCTGAACATCGTGTCTTGGATCTTCCATAATTACGTCCAGGCGCGCCGGAAGAGTTTGGGATTAGAGGGGGTTGTGTGTGGGGGGGGGGGGGGGGGGTGCAAACATCCCAGAAGAGAAAGCTAGTTGCTACTGGTCCATGTACCATTTAATTCCAACTGGTAACCCTGGAAATTGAAATAGGCTAAGTGATCCAGTTGATCCAGGCCAGCTATAATTCAACTGTTCTAGCTGAGCCATTAGAACCATTTGGTAAAACTTCCAACCAGTTGAACAGCAACAAAACTTCAATACTGGTACGTCTGTATTTCCAATGTAAGGGCATTGGTAATAAGTAGACTTACATAATTGAATTAATTGAAAAAAATTCGTATACTTGTACTTTATTAAAATTATTTTAGTTCACAGTTAATGTTTCCCTTATTCATGTTTAACTATTTATACGAAGTAGCGAAATGTCCTAATTACTGGTAATTTATATTTGTAGTATTTTCGAAATGAATTGCATTTAACTAAATCATCAGTAATTAAGAAATATGCTGTAAATTCAGATGAATTGTTTAAAAAAACATAGATCCGCACGCACCCCATATTCAATATGCAAATGAATTGGTGTCAGCTGGGTCAACTCGAAATATGCCAACGCGCAGTCATCAACTGGTGCAACTGGAAATATGCACACTCCAGTTATCAACTGGTGCAATGAAAATATGCCAACAGTCAGTTATCAACTGGTGAACATAGAAATATGCCAACAGTCACGGGATTATCACCACGGAACTTAAATGGTAACTGTGAAACCATCAAGACACCCAAGAATAACTCATTTTCACACATGGAAAACACGGAATACCCAGCTTATATTAATAATCCGTTTGAGTCACGCGATCATCACCGCGGAACTGCTGGCAACTTTGGCTACGATTTAAATAGGTGTTTTAAGACACCTAATCATGACTAATTTTTCACACCTAAAAGTCACGTATGCCCAGCTTAGATTAATAATCCTTTTGAGTCACGACATCATCACCGCGGAACTGCTGGCAACTTTGACTACCATTTAAATTGGTGTTTTAAGACACCTAATAATTACTAATTTTTCACACCTAAATATCACGGATTCACAGCTTAGATTAGTAATCAGTTTTAACTACGTGATCATCACCAAGAAAGTTATGGTAACTTTGAAACCATTTAAATAGGTGTTTTAAGACACCTAATAATGACTAATTTTTCACACCTAAAAGTCACGTATTCCCAGCTTAGATTAATATTCCGTTTGAGTCACGAGATCATCACCGCGGAAATGCTGGCAACTTTGACTACCATGTAAATAGGTGTTTTAAGACACCTACTAATTACTAATTTTTCACACCTGAATATCACGGATTCACAGCTTAGATTAGTAATCAGTTTTAACTACGTGATCATCACCAAGAAAGTTATGGTAACTTTGAAACCATTTAAATAGGTGTTTTAAGACACCTAATAATGACTAATTTTTTACACCTAAAAGTCACGTATGACCAGCTTAGATCAATAATCCGTTTGAGTCACGAGATCATCACTGCGGAACTTATGGCAACTTTGACTACCATTTAAAAAGGTGTTTTAAAACACTTAATAATTACTAATTTTCACACCTACATATCACGTTTTCACAGCTTAGATTAGTAATCAGCTCGAGCCACGTGATCATAACCAAGAAATGTATGGTAACTTTGAAACCTTTTAAAGAGGTGTGTAAGACACCTCAGAATTACTAGTTGAATATAACCAGAGATTCAAGGACAGAACAATAAGACGATTAGCCGGTGTAAGTAACGTGATTATTACCATCAACCTTGGATAACCTGTGAAACCAATCAATAAAGGTGCTTACAAGACCAAATAATTACGTATTTATCGCCACCATCGGTTAACTGACAAAAAACTCGTTGCTTGGTCAAGTGGTTATTTGGTCATAAACACTTGATTTACAGAGGTAAGTGGAATCACGTTACTCCAGTCGCGTGATAAACTGGTGGTTTTTAGGTTAGATGAAAACGTGAACAGGAGTACCCTTTCTTTTAAATGAAGGCACGTGTCGATAACGTTTAAATCTAGTTCAAAAAGCACTATACTTTAAAATCACTTAAAATTCGCTCCCAAAAGAGGTTACTTTTTGGTGTTCTGTTTATTGGGTATACTTTCTAGTAATATTTGACTAGATTAACTAGATTCCAATGGATTTTTTTTCCTGGAAGGGGAATATCTTATGTCACTATTACAAAGACTCGGAGACATATTTGCTATACACGCTTTATGATTGTAATTATTATGTGAAATGATTCCATGGAGTATCTTGATAACAACAATTAGGTTTAGAATCAGTTACTACATGGATACCTGTCTTGTTTTTCATCATAACTAACATATCGTTTTAGTACACTGTTTTGGTATATTTTAAGACTTTGTTTCATCACTTATGTCAAATATTAACTCTCCATCCTTTGTGACACTGTGTTAGATAAAACAAAAAAGGCAACTTGTAAGTTAAGGCTGTAATATTTAGAAATGAAACTATAAAAAATATTATATAAAGTATACATAAACTGAATGTAAGTGAGTAATAAGTGACCATCTAGATATTGAATATTATAATAACTCTGAAAACTCTCACAATAATATTCAAGATAACATTTCATTTATCATTAATTAGATGTCCACAAGATGCTCAGTCCACCTCATATTAACGATAAAGACAAAACATCTTCATTTCACACATCTTTACTTGAAATAGAGAGATAGAATATGACATAACTCCTGATTATTAGTGAATATATATAGTGAATCCACAAGTTTAGTAAGTCGAAATGTTACAACTCGGTGATAATCCTCTTTTATATTTGAAATCTCGGAGTTTGTGGTAGACAATGTTTAACCAGAGGTGGCTAGAATACTATGGTTTAACAGCTGCTGAGCGCCAAAACATTCGATCAGAAATAACTCGGAAGACGTGGGCTATATGATTCGAGTTCAAGAATATAGTTTGTCATGTTTGTTAGCAATCCTTACCATAACACCTGGTTACATTATGTTTTGAACAAACTGAAAATATATTTAGATATGATCCCTTCAGATCATGTCTATCCTAATGTACCAATGAAATCAATTGCAAGTACATTACGCATTTCAAAATGTTATCGTTTTAGTTTTTCAAATAAAATTTAGGTCTACACTTAAAATGTCAGTTTATTACTACAGTATATTGTTGACAGCCCATGGTAAATAAAGATCCATGAAAAATGAACCCACAAACAATAAGCCTCTCAGATAGTCTTTGCCTCTATTCTGTATGAGGGGCATTTTGACCACCCCCTCCCCCTCCCCGTCCCCGCACTGTTAATATTTGATTTCATTTTCTAGATCATTTCGCACGAATCTATCATTTTTCCCTGAGTCTTAATGGAAAAGGTAATAATGGCTTTAAACGGGTTTCTTCTTTCTTTTTTTGTCGAGAAGAAATTTTGAGTGAAATGTGGACACGTACAAAAATATGTGTACTCACTTGTGTTAGCGACAATTACAAAAAAACGTGTGGTTTTGTTTTGTTATTATTTTTATTTTCTTGCTATGTGTTTCTTCCCATGTTCACGCACAAAGGATTGCTAGCCTTCAAACAACAAAGGGTTCCCACCAAGATGTATACATGGTGTCTCTCTGCTGTATCTGCACTAAATCCTCGTTCTCCATATTATTGTATATTGAAACCGGCCTGGATTATCCACAGTAGAGGACAGTTGAAACATTTGAAAAGAACCAGAGACGAGCTACACGGATTATTCTCAAACAGAGAAGACAGGATATTCTCTTCTCAGGAAGCAGTTTGTATAACGACTGAATTATAAAATTAAATTAAAGATTGATTTTCAGGAAAATGAGAACAAAAAGTAAATGATACCAAATTGCATAAATTGCATCTTTAGCTTCTCAGACCGTCAGGACCTGCAGTTGGAGTTCAACATTATTATACGCTTTATCTAAAATCCAACAAGTATTAAGACTTGCCCTCGCATTATACAAAACATGATAAAGGTGTGTCCCCCACCGTTGAGAATTTTGGGGGCATGTCCCCCTGTCAACCACATGATTGATGTCCATGGTTACATAGTTTGATCTATCAGGAAAACAATGAAGATTTTTTTATGACTCAGAAGAAACCTAGAATACGAAGATTTTGATCGAAATGTGATTTATCAGCAATTATTTTGAGAAATATATCCTCAAATATGAAATTAAGACAAAATGTATTGACTTCATCTTTGGCATCCCATGTGGGAATTATTCCCCTTTTAATTTCGTTATTTTGTATGGCTTTAATTAAGTCCCTCAGAAACGACCTAAAGCCGTCAGTCCTTTGGTTGCTTACTTACAAGTTTACAAACGCTTTATTAACTGTTGAGTAAAATCAACCAACCAATGACAAAAGCTTTCGGGTTTCACAATAAATTCCTCACCTAATTGCAAATTCGATCCTTATCATTTGTTCTTGGTTTGAATTCGTCAGGGGGCATGTTGCCTCCATTGCCCCTCCTCTTCAACATATAGCTAGTGCCCCTTTTCCGCGCTTGTATGCCAATCGTTTTTACTATTTGCATAATGTGTATTCTTTATAGGAAAAAATGAATTGAAAAAATGAGTGGCATTATATCACGATGATGATTGATACATACCCAGGGGCCGTTCCATCAATCCATCTGTATGTACCATCGTCATCCATGTCTTCTAAGCCGATGTAATAGTTACCATCACCCTCCGTTAATCTCATGGCAATGAAAGTCTATTCATATTATGAAGAGAAGAGGAATAGATTTTAAAATGTATATCAAGGTGGCAAAGTGCAAAATATTTGCAAAGCTATATATTATTTCTCAAATTATAATGAGTTTAGTGTATATAAATGTGATGGCATTTCAAAACATTCAAAGGGGATGTGAAATCGATTCTGATAACTAAAATCTTTTGTTTGTAAATACACAGGATAGGGGTTAATTAACAATCAAAGAAACCAGACTTTCAAATTGAAAACCCCCCGGAATGATATTTAGGTAATACAAAGTTTTGGGAAATTTTGAAAATTGGATGGATAGTGATTCTTTACAATTTTGATATATTTGAATGCCCCTGTGGATGTATGAGAAGCACTAGAAAATTTAGCCCCTAAACTACTTCCGCTTTCAAGAAAATTGAATATAAAAATTTACCGGTGCTCCCGGTAAATTTTGATAAATTTCAAATAGCGCCTACGGCCGTACAATGGTAGCTGCGACCATGAAAATCGCAGAATATGTAGTTGTGATATATAATTTCCGAACGGGAACAACTAATCGGTAGATTTTAGTCAAGAAACATTGTTTTATAGCTTAATTTATAGCTTGACCTTGAGAGGGAGCTATACAACATAAAGAATTTATTATTTACAATTTCATTACTTCAGACTCGATTTCAACCGTGACAACGATCACTGAATATTGTAGGACCGCATATGCGTCCAATAAGTTCATTTGAACCAAATTCAAGACCCCATACCAAAACTTTGTATTACCTTTAAGGATTTGTTTCCTCTTGAAACGCCGAACATACCGCGGTGTGAGCAGCTGAATTTACAATGGCGTCTTATTTTGTTTACAAGCGACAGATTCCTTTATTTTTGTATCGCTGCATCATCAAAATAAAACCATGCGCGGGGTCTCGAGTGAGGCAATAGATTATACATTTAGCCTGACGGTAGTGAAGTAAGAGAAAGAACTCAAGAGAAGATGAAAAAACAGGCACTGAAAACGTATGAGATGTCATGGGACATCGTCTGCTTGTGCAAATCATGTCCATCCTGTGATCTGACACAACTCAGCAGCGTTCGGAGAGCTCTTCAGGTGCTATGCCGGGGCTCTATTTAAGCGTTTTGTAATTTATAATAATCATTACTTCGAATGTTTCCAAGCATTGAATTTTGATAACCTTGTCGAATCAAAGTTTCAACTTTGCAATAATAAAAATAAACTTAGTTTTTAAAATCAATGATTATCTACTTTAAGGTTTATGCATTTCAATTCACTGGTAGAGAAAAACGTGAGACAGTGGACACAAGCACCAGCTTAGTTGGGTTTTTTCATCTGAGAGATGTCCATGGTGTACCTGTTGGGTGGTTGAATTAGCAATACAAGTTTTCTTGAAAATGTTTAACTTCACGGAACACCTGCAAATTTTTTGCTATCATTCTTGGCAATATTTCACTGCCCTTTCTGTTCTGAAGAAACAAATAAGGTACCAACAAATCCTAATATTTTATAGGAATAAGTAGGCATCGGTCAACATTTTTTTTATAGAAAAACTGTATAGGGTTTCAGTAATACGTTTTGCTCCATGAAAATTTTGTAAATATCTTATGTAATAGACGGTAAAAGTGCGTTCGTACATTTTGTTCAGCTGATGTAATGATTGGCATGTCACCACCTAAGCTTTGGCAGTGTGCACGTGTTTCAGAGAATTTCCTGCCGATACCATCTAAACTATGGTAGACGACATACTGATAGCCACCAAACACATTCAACCCTGATGTACGACACTCCTGACATTCAACTGTAAGATAATAAGATACAAAGAATCAAAACAGCCATCTCCACGGTAACGATTGAACATAGTAACAATATAAATATAGAATCTACAAAAGAAAGGTAGTATGAACAATCGAACAGTTTCATTATAAACAGAATGTACGAAGGAAATGTAGTTTAAACAAAACGAAAAATACATGTACAAAGAATAACCAGTAAGATTTCACACATGATACCATAACGATTAGGAAGGAGAGATAAAGGTACAGAGGAAGGAAGCTGAGGAGAGGGAGAGAGAGAGAGAGAGAGAAAAAAAAGAGAGAGGGGAGAGAGAGAGAGAGAGAGAGAGAGAGAGAGAGAAAGAAAGAAAGAACTAGACAAAATGTAGATCATGAGTATACATACTTTGGTAAGTGATTATAATTATGGTCCTATTTTCATTTTGATTTTCAATGTAAGTTCAGTCTAACGAATCTTACGCAGTGATAGTCTCGCTTAAATGAAGAGAGAAAATAACAGTTGCCAATTACAGTGTATGAACTTCCAAACTTTCCAAAGTTCCTGTTAACGAAAAACTGACTGGTGATAGTAAATAAACAAGTTTCGACACATATGAATTTCATAGGCCTTTCCATAATTTAGTAATATGATAGTAGAAACACCCAGTAAGTTTCATACAAACCTGTTGTAGATGAAAGAATCCATATCAGAGTAAAAGGCAGAAACATCCTAGACCATCCAAGTATTGAATCCCCAGACATTGTCAATATCACAGCAACACAGAGTGTGAGATGCAATGCCCAATAGTGATGTCCGATATTGAATATATAAATTCCTTCCTATGTACACATAGCAAAAAAGGTTGCGCTTGGAGTTATATCCGTTATAGGGCTATATATCCTGGAACGACGGAGCAGCTTGGAAAATGACCTGTGATCTGATTCCATTAGCCAAATATTATGACTGATTATTGAAAAGAAAGTCGATTATGCCATGTATCAAATTAGAGACAAATTACTTCCTCATTGTGGGTTATCACCACAAACCAGAGGGGAGGTGGTGCGTAAATGTATGAGAGCAAAAAAGTCATTTCCGATTTCCAGGCTCATCGTTTTCTAAAAGGGTTTCGTTTCGTTTCGTGTTTATTTTCGTCATATTTATTAAAAGAATTCACAATGAAAATATAGTAACAAAAGAAAAATAACAAAAATTCTGTAAACTGGTATAAAATAAACAGTTTACATGAGCAAGAATGTATAACGAAATAAGCAAAAAGACAGAGAAAACAGACGGCTGGATAGCCCATTTTCAGCTACGTTTGCATAGTGCGGCTGGTCATCCATGGGGACCTGAAAGAAATGGAAGAAGGTTGGGGGGGCAGAATAACACAACACAAAACATCAAGAATAATGGTATTTAAAGAAAACAGGAAAAACAATTATATTGAGGTAGTACGGTATTAATTAATTAAGTTGTGAAAGAGTTTGTTTGAATAAATACAGAGGTGTGCAATCGCGTTTGCGGTTGTTTGTTCGGGGTACTGGAACGGAAAGATTAAGGTACCGTAGCGGATGAGGTCTTGGTGTATAAAATATGTTTACTGTTAATTCATTTGGTGGCATGTTATTTTAAACATAAACCCGAATATGGAAAATCTGGCGAGCTTTTAAAGTCTCCCGCCCAAGTATTCCATGCATTGAAGTAACAGAAAATGTAATTGAGGCTTTAATTTCAGAATAGTTCTTCCTGCTCTATTTTGAAGCTGTTGTAATTATTGATTAATGTATTTTCATAGGAAGACTGTCATATTTTGTCCGCATAATCTAGATGAGGTAGAATAAAAGTTTGGTATATAAGCTTAAAGTTTCTTTTATTTATGCATTTTCCTAAACGACGGACAAATGAATGGATGCTCATGCATTTCATGTAAATGGGTGTACAGACGTGTAGCAATGTATTAGTATGATGTTCTCTTATTGTAATTTGTATGATCTTTATACTCACTACTGTAGGAATGAATACTGTACATTGAACACATGTACTTCAAAAGGCAAAAAACATTGGAACGGAAACATTGTCAACTGAAAGTTCCGATTTTCTATCATTACATACATATAGAAGCATGATTTATTTTAATAATATTTTCCACACGTTTTCTAGTATTTGTTTTCCAGCAGAATACTTCGCATTGATGGTCATACCAGCCATTGCTGATACCAGGAAATAGGAAGGAACGCGGATTCTCTGAAGGTCGAACTCGATCAAATCAACATTGCATTAATAATTGACTTTAATATTACATCTATGGTACATCCTTGTCGATAGCAAAGCACAAGTGACCTATATTTTTGTATGAATAATGGGTTCATTTATTTGTTTCAAAGCCCCCAGTGTACTACGACAATTTGTTTTCTTAACCTGGAAGTTGCACTGTAAATAATGGCAGAATGAATTCATTATTGATACAATACTAATTCCCTTAAAGGTAAAGACCAGTATTGGAAACGCCCCAATTTCAAAAAATGAAATGGAAGCTCTTATTACCAATCATGTGAAAGAATATGTTTTGACTAATGCATGATGATACAAATTTTGCCGGGAAACCGCCTACTAATTGATATATTTGGTAATTTAGTTTATCTACATGGTCTGTGAGAGATAAACGCACATGTCGTGCATGTGTGCGTATAGTCCCATATACATCTTTCTGTGAACAATGCTTGTAACTTTACGAAGACTGGGCCATATTTCTTATCTTTTTGATGATTCCAGCACCTTGCAGTACACACCAATACTTATATGCTAGATGATCAACCTTTTCTGATCGATTCCACAACGTTTCTTTCACAATGCAATCACATGACCATAACTGGTCTTTACCTTTAATCAATCAGGCATGAAAATCAAAAGTGGTAAGACAGAGCAGATTGAAATGGCCTGTAATCTGATTCCAGTATCCAAATATTGTGACTGATAATAAAATATTGAAAAGAAAGTCGATTATGCCATGTATCAAATTAGAGACGATAGGAACTTTTAGATTTGCACGTTGACAGCTTTGACTGCAACGTGTGACGTCATTTTAAGGCACTGCGCATGCGTCACGTCGTCTCAGTCGGCGATCGAAAATGCGTCAACCTTGATTTTCCTAAATCTAGTACGGTACTAGTGTATGCCGCGTGCGCATAACATATACAGTTCCTCAGGTAGACAAAGGAACATCCCTTCCCTGCTATTATGTAAAAATGTGTAGAACAGGTGTCACATGCATATTCACCTGTTCTACACATGTTTACATAATAGCAGTGAAGGGATGTTCTACCACAGCAATAGGCCATTTTCGTAATGTAACCAAATTTAATGCAAAGGTCTTTGTGAAGTGCCTCAAAACAAAACTTTTCATTCACCTGATAAGAATAGTAGTATTTCAATAGACAGAATCCTAACTGCATACATTAGTTGTTGCCAGGTTGGACAAACATTGTGGCCCGAATTCACAAAGCAAGGTTTGAGCTCAAACCTCTTTTGTCTCGCCAAACCTCCTTTTGTTCTTTACAAACCAGGTTTGTAAAAAACGCGTAAAACGCGTCATATGACGTACGAAAACCAAGGTTTGTCGACAAACCTCCTTTGTGAATTCGGGCCATGACTTGACCTACCTAGCAACACTTAATATATGCAGTTGCATTCTGACTATTGAAATACTATTATTTCTATCAGGTGAATGAAATAATTTGTATCGAGGCACTTCACAAAGACCTATTCATTAAATTTGGTTACATTACGAAAATGGCCTATTGTTGAGAGTAGAATGAGGAACTGTATATTTTGTCCTCTTTCTTTGTCTGTCATGTTCATAGTGTTACTTTCTGCATGCATTTATATCGTCGAGTGCAATCTAAAAGATTTCTAATAGACCAGTTCACGGTTAGCACATTACTGCAATGACCCCGAATATCCACAGATCTTAAAAACATGAAGAGGTCCCACTTTTTACATTTTGAAATAATCACTCCTACAGCGATGGAGGTGCTATATAAATAGCCTTTGTTTCCCCTTTTCAAAGAATACTTCCACCTGTGTATCATAGATGGCACTGAATGTGCATAAATGAATAATGTTACATAACTTTCATGAACACGTATCCAGTATTTCGTCTCCGTGTATTTCAAAATTTGTTCTGCAATGACCTTTATCTGCTCATGCTCAGACTGCAACCGTGAACTGGCTTATTGTAGTCAACATGGGCAGTTGAGTACGTTGACACGCATGATCAGTCGGCGTTCGTCGTGTTCTCGTCCACTCAATCTAAAAGTCCCTAATGTACTTGCTCCTTGTTGACTAACACCACTAATCAGAGGGTAGTGGTACGTAAATGTATGACAGCAACGAAGTTATTTCCGATTTCCAGGCTCATCGTTTTCTAAAAGGGTGCTCATGAATTTCAGGAAAAGGATGTACGTCTAACAACTATTGTGAGGGGGTCTCCATGATATATCCCATGTAGAATATTATCATAGTAGATGCTCCATAAAGTGATTGCACGAACAAATCAGTTCTCAACTGCATGGCGACAAAATTCTGATTCCACGCATGTGTGTGTATAATAATTGTCTAAGTTTGAAATAAAGTTGTTCTACTCTTCATGTTTCTATTCATCATAACATACATATTCATCCCATCCAAACATTATTTCTAGACAGCTCGTTTGTACTAATATCACTCAGGGTATTAACTGTACAAAGAAAATCAAGCAATTTTTGTTGAAGGGGCACGGTCCCTTCGCATCCATAGCATCTTGATATGGGAATAGCGTAAGGAAATGTAATGCTATAATTATGATAGTCATGCCCCTAAACCTAAATTACACGCTAAAATTAACCAGAAAGGAACGTCCGACCACTGTACTTGAATGGTAATTTCCCTGCTTCCTGACATAGGCGTAGAGACACAATCTCGCTGAAAGGGGATTACGCCTTTGGGCCGAATCTTAACTCTTCAGTTCCTAAATCTTATGCGGGGGAGCGAACCTTTTTGTAGTGGAAATTACAAAAATTGCATATTCGGGCACTTCATTCGGGCATCTCAAGCACACCCCCCCCCCCCCCCCCCCCCCCGTCTCGTACGCCTATGTTCATTAAAGGAGAAGTCCACCCCGGTATTAAGCTGGTCTTAAAGGTGAAATTCAAAGAAATTCACAAATATGTCAACTAATGTATCACTAGAAACTGGTAAGCTAACAGATGGCCATCGGACAAGTTTTAGGTCAAATGCATATCGGGTGATTTATAAAAATACAAATACAACCACCTCCATAGCAGCTGGGATATACGAGAGATTCACCGGAAAAGTAACGATGTTTTAATGACGTCACTATATGGACCAACACTGCCCAAGGAGACGACATCCCATAGAAAATGAACATAATTCCAAAGCTATTATTAGTCAAATTATAATGAGTTTGGTGTATATAAATGTAATGGCATGTCAAACCATTCAAAAGGGGATATGACCCGATTCTGATAACTAAAATCTTTTGCTTGTAAATACACAGGATAGGGGTTAATTAACAATCAAAGAAACCAGACTTTCAAATTGGAAAGCCCCGGAATGATATTAAGGACGGCATTTGCTCCCTCTTGAAACGCCGAACAAACCCCGGTGTGTGCAGCTGAATATACAATGGCGTCTTATTTTGTTTACAAGCGACAGATTCCTTTATTTTTGTATCGCTGCATTTGTCATCAAAATAAAACCATGTGCGGGGT